CCACCTGGTGAGTTTGGGGCTAGGGGTGGGGTTAAAAATGATTCTTTTAGCAGTAATCTAACTATTATCCATTCTTTGTCAGGTCCACCGAATCTCTTTCTTAATGGCGATGAGGTGTCCGAAGACCTAAGGAAGTGGACAGTAAATGATGTTTACAACTTTATCAGCAGTATACCGACATGTTCAGAATATGCTCAGGTTGGTATCTATCACTGTCTTTAAATGACTCATCTATATTCTATCTGTCGTATCGTTGTTGTTCTAATGTGAGGTGACTGCGCTCTGCAGACGTTCAAGGACCACATGATTGATGGGGAGACACTCCCCCTCCTCTCAGAGGAACATCTACTGGACACACTGGGGCTCAAGCTGGGCCCAGCTCTTAAAATCCGCTCACAGGTGAAGTAACCCAGACTTCGTTTTAAGTCATGACAGACTGACAGTGAACCAACACACACAATACCAGGACCCTGAAACCGAAGCAAATACATGGAATTCAGCCATTATTAACTTTATAATTTTCACCAAGTAAAAAAAAGTAAAAGGCCTATGGAGGAACATAACACTGATTACACTGAAAATTATGATAACCTCAGCACATCCTCTCCTATGCAGTATATAATCCCTTTAGAGACTGAGTTATACACAGGCAACATAGGCAATTAAATTAACACTGTAGATCTGTCAACTCTCTATTCTTTGACAGGTGTCCAGGCGCCTGGGCAGCATGTTGTACACGATGAACCTGCCCCTCTCCACCGCCACCCTGCAGGCCGCACCTGAGAAGCCCGGGGATCGCTCAGAGATCAGCTCCCCTGTTAACTGCCACAGTGATGAGATGATGGCGAGTCCAAGAGATCCCGATGTCCTCAAATCCACAGAGCACCTCCACGAGACAGAAAACAATTCACCTCCCTCTGCCAGCAGTGAGACAGCCTGAGATGTGGACAGATACAAACCAACTCAGCACCCATGTGCACCTAGATCATGGCACTACCACTGCTCCAACAGGGCTGGTTTTGTTTGCATGAGGATTAACTAGATCAAAGATGCTTTTTGACTGTTTGCTACCTGGGCAGGTCAACAAAACAAATTCCCTCATTGTGTTCATCACACATTTTCATGCTCATTAAGCCATTCTGTAACAGAGCTGCAACCATCAGTCAGTTTGTTGATAAAAAATTAACTTGCAACTACTTTGAAGCAAAAATCATCAACATTTTCTAGTTCCACCTTCTTTAATGTGAGGAGTAGGCCTCAGTCTCTAAATATCAGATTGTAGTTTTAAATGGAATTTTTCTTTATCTACTAGTTGTTTCTCTAGTATGCTGGCATAAGGACCACAGAAATGGTTTTATAACCAAATGAAATATTTAAACATTGTCTTTTTGACTTTGAAGTTTGATTATATTTTTGGTAATATTTCTTGATTGGCTTGTAAATAAAGTGTTTTTCTACATAGGAAGCTGCAGTGAAAACTTCCTTGATTAAATGTTGAGGACGAAATAAGTCCAGATCAAGAACTGGGTCTTTAACAATACATTAGTTCAGTATTTGAGTAAATAAATAAAGTATGCTGGCAAACATATTTTTCTTAATTATGTTGACTAAAAGGGACAGCTAACTAACTTGGTAATTAACATGAATACATTTTATAACTATTTTTAATTAGTTAAATGTTCTTCATTTCTTCAGTTAAAGACAGCCAACTGAGATCCCAATACATATAACAATTAGAGGCATGAAAAAGATCCACCAAAAGGATGCTGGTGTACGACTGTTTAATTGTTTTACTTATGAATGAAATTGCCGTTTTAATCGGCAGTCTCGCGATATTACACATGTTATGCGCGCGCGCGCAACCTCGCGCACGTCGGAGGAACTGAGTTGGAGGATCATGGCGGAGCGCAGGAGGCACAAGAAACGGATCCAGGTAACATCAAATAATTCATACCAAATAGTGCCGGTGCAAGATGAAGGTAGAGAAATAAAAATCAGGCGCAGGTTTACGACCTGTGGCGGGATGTTTGGTAGCTTTACCATCCTCGCGAGAAGGCGTCCACAGGCGGAGGATAAAGCTAAATGATAGCTAAAGGTAGCTATCGAAACAGATGGTAGTATTTCTGGTCGGAGGAGATACTTTAGAGCTATTTAACCAAAGCACTCATACACTGGTATACACATAATAATAACAACGGTAATTTACTTTCTGTTGAGCTGTTTCCCTTGTCAGGCATTTTTATTCTGATTAAGCTGGTTGCTGGCTAAGCTGCGTCAGCTTTGACCAGACATGTTTACATAACGTAAAGCAATCTGTGGGATTTCAAATTATTGGTAAAGACATCATAATGGGCATTACTATGTAGATCGAAGCAAGGTAGCGTCGTTAGAGTGGCTGCAAAGACTGGAGCAATGGTTTGTGTTAAAGCAACTGGTCATAGAGGGGTTACAGGTTCATTCAACTGGAACATCACTCGAACACATGGTCAAATTATTCTTCATATTTCTGATATGTTTGTAGTGTCATTGACACTGATGGTCAGAGTTCTGCAGCTATTCTGCTCTATGATCACAAGCAGATGAGGCTTGGCCATTACCAACAGCACAATCCTACTTTATGCTCCAGTTACCAGTTGACACAGTCCCTCTTTATTTTTCAAATGCAACTGTTGTGCTTTCCAGCATTCAAGAGTTGAAATGAAATTGAAACCAAGACTATTACCTGGATGCATGCTTAGTTGCCAGCTGCTCGGTACCTAAATAACTATAGTACTGTTAATTCAGCAAACCTGAAATACATAAATCCTACCTCCGTGAAAATTGTAATGTTCGGTTATGGTTTTTCCACTTAAATGTAACCACTCAGGGTAGATGTATTATTATATTACACCTCTCAGTTCAACAGCACCACAAACTACAACAGCTAGAATGGCCATAAAGTTGAATCAGCGCCTCTTTAAAGCAGTTCCAACTTCATAATCTTCATTTAGGAAAGATTTGTTGCAGGGTCGTTGTGTTGGACTACACTGGTTTGAGGTAGGAGCTTCTCATGAGCCACTCAACTAAGTGTAGGTGTCTGCATGTCAGAGTCCAATTGGTCTTGGTGTGATTCACTAGTAACCAGTCTTTACATGCTCTGGCTGAGCTGCTTGCTTCATGCATGAATGGTTAGAAGAGAGGAGCTAATCCTCAGGCTATCATGCCAGATGGCTCATATAGATGGTGGCAGGGGGCTTTATGTGGGGTCTGTGTAACTGAGCTGTGCAATTGATACCTGCTCCTTCAAACAAAGGCTTGTTTGATGGCCTCATCGCCTTCATGTTGCAGCTGGACTGGATAAAGTGGCACTGAATCTTATGATGCTGATGCTGTCATTCTCCTCTGTCCTGGCATGTGGTGCTGGCAGGATAGACGCTGTGGGAAGGGAAGACATGACTGTTTTGAAATCATTGCAAGAGATTTTAAAAAATCCACACAGTACTGTGTGTGAGCACTTCTCCAGCCTAGAGCATTTACATTTTTTAACAATTAAATGTTTATTAATATAGTTTGCAGTTTATACAACATGAACATTGAATAGTATTCCTCAGGAAAATACATCCACCTGTTATTCAAGTATTTCTATTGATATCTTCACGTTGAGTAATTTTGTTTTGTTGTGTCTTTTTGTGGCCCTGCAGGAGTTGAGCGAGCCCACCAAGGAGGAGAAGGCAGTGGCCAAGTACCTTCGATTCAACTGCCCCACCAAGTCCACGAACATGATGGGCCACCGAGTGGACTACTTCATTGGTTAGTGCTTGTTTGGGAGCTGTGAGGGGCCCTGGGTGCAGTATGAATCAGGACTGTTTATTTACAAATTCACAGACTGATGTGTTTACTGAACAGGCCCTTCTGGATTTGATTTTGTCAGAGTAAATGAGACTAGTGCTGTACTGAGGTGTTATTTTGGTAAGTTGTCAAATTCTTAAACAAATGTGTTTGCAGCAGTCTTGTTTACAGGCCTGCTCCTCTCACGCAGTACTCGGATTTGTCTTCTTCTGTGGCACGTAGGAATTTGTCAGTTTTGAGAAATATTTAAGTCTGTAGTTGTGGGCAGAATAAGGGATGGCTCCAGTTGAGGCTGGTTATTCCTCTCATCATCAGTTATTGCAAGTTTAAACCTAAACCTTTACTCCTCCTAAACTACTGCCCTCTGTTCTGTTTGTATTTAGTTTTTAGATTAATTAACAGACCAATCAAACCATTGGATGTACAGTACTGTGCAAATGCTTTAGGCGTTTATTAGGAGGATGTTCTCAAAAATGCCAGTTCACTTTATAAAAGTGCAGTAATCCAAAAATTTAAATATGTTTGCTGTGACCATCGTTTGCCTTCAGAACAGAACCAGTTCTTCAAGGCACTTGGCAGGTGAGTTGCTCCAGCATCTTAGAGAAGTGGCTCTTGGTCTTCTGCGGATTTACTCAGTCTCAGTGTCTTCTGTGATCCTAGACTGACTCTGATGTGGAGGCGAGTTCTGTGACTCTGACTGGACATGTGGGGTTGTTGACACGCTGTAAAAGAAGCTGGGACCAATCAGATGTCTCCGTCGTGTGATAGACAAGAATCTAAACATTTAAAGTGTCTAAAACATTTGCACAGTATTGTAAATCAACTGACTACATCACTGTATGGCCTTTTAAGGCTCAGTATTACTGTATGATTTTTTTTTTTTTAATGTCCAATTTTGTGTCCCTACGTTCAGCCTCCAAGGCGGTGGACTGTCTACTGGACTCTAAGTGGGCCAAGGCTAAGAAGGGAGAGGAGGCGCTTTTCACCACCAGGGAGTCTGTGGTGGACTATTGCAACAGGTTGGCTGCATTGACTTACACTGACCTTACCTTTCATTTGGTCTATTAAAATGTCCAGTTCCATGAGAAAACAGGGATAAAAAGCCTTCAGATTGATGCATATTCAGTTTATCAACATCAGAGATAAAGAAAACCAGTAAATATTAGCTTTGCAGGAGCCAGAACAAAGTTTTTTTGCACACTGAGAAGAAATCTTTGACATAACCTGAGTCTGTGCACACTGATGGCGATTGCTTTAAACAGTAATGATCTAAACTGTAAATCAGTGTTTAACCTTTAATAATCTGACATGCCTGTCTTTCTTCTGTAGACTTCTAAAAAAGCAGTTCTTCCACCGCGCTCTCAAAGTGATGAAGAAAAAACCTGAGAAAGACACCAAGAAGGAGAAGGAGAAAGACAAGAGCAAAGGCGACAGCAGCAAAGAGGAGGAGAAAAAGGGGAAGAAGGAGAAGAAGAAAGAGTCTGAGGCTGCTGAAACCAAGAAAGAGAAAAGTGTACATGACCCAATACTTTCAACTTCCGTTTGAAGACAAAACCACTGAGATTATATCTGTCCAGACAGCACAGTGTTATCACTGCTTATGTTTGATCTCAACAACAGAGCAGTGTCCCGTTACAAGTGGCACAATAAGCAATACGATAAATACTCAGGACAATTTAAACAGTAACATTAAACCAGTTTACTTAAATGCTCATTCTTTACTGAATGGGGTCCATCTGAAACAGGGTTATCAGAGTTACACAGTGTTTGCTTTATGACTGATAAGACTCACCTTGACACCGCTGATCTGATCAGCCACTAACCTGACAGCGAAGGGTCAGAGAGAGAAGTTATATGTGTCCATGCTGTGTGGTCTGGTTCGCTGAAGAGAAACCATCACTTAGTGGAAAATTAACAGGTCACAGAACATTTGATTTTGAGTGAACTAGATTTTATTTCTGACACACCTTTATGTGAATAAACAGGATGACAGTCCTGGAACCCCCAAGAAGAAGAAGGAGGTGAAGAAGAAGTTTAAACTGGAGCCTCATGATGATCAGCTGTTTCTGGATGGAAATGAGGTGTGTGGATTTAGAGAATTAGGACATACAGGACACATGTTTGTGTCCTCAAACACAATAAAAACCCAGCATGTGTCTTTCCTGTAGGTTTATGTGTGGATTTATGATCCTGTCCATTTTAAGACATTTGCCATGGGACTGATCCTCGGTGAGTCACTGGTTCAAAATCATAAATGAGTTCTGTTGAACAAGAAGTGAATGCAGTGTTATCTGTTACAGATACCTGCTAATTTTACACTTAAGCTGTCTATGTGTGTTGTGTTTCAGTCATCGCAGTGATAGCAGCCACACTGTTCCCACTGTGGCCAGCAGAAATGCGTGTAGGAGTTTACTATCTAAGTGTTGCAGCAGGCTGCTTCGTGGCCAGTATATTGCTTCTCGCTGTTGGTAAGTACATGTTCAAAGAAAAGTAACTTGTCTAGTGGGCCCTTAAAAAAAAAGTTTTAAAAGCTCCTACAAGAGCTATCCTCACACTGAACTAAACTAAGAAAATGTATCAACAAAAAATCTAGAGGCAAAATGCTGTTCAGTAGGGGGTGCAAACCTGTTGATGAGGTTGCACTGAGCTGTAAATTCAAAAAGGAGGCAAGCTTCAGAGAAAACTCAAATACCATTTTGTCTTCGTCATGTTAGTTTTTCCTCCTTCAAATGCCAACTGGTAAGACCTTCCTTCACTCCCTAAACACCTTGCTTGTGTGATCCTCCAGGGGGAAAACAAGCGATCTGTAGCCACAAGGTTTTCATGATGAATTCACTGGTAACCAAATTGATTCTCAGATTCAATTATTTTTCAGCATGACCATAAATCTGTTGCTGCCACTAAAGGTTTTGTTTCTTGCATTTCTGCTTGAACCGCTATATGTCACTAAGTGAGAGCGCATAGGGGTCTGAATCGAGGTTGAAAAACAATCATATAGCCCTAGTGGACATGTGTGTTGAATTGTTGATTTCAGAACATTACAAACACTGGTGGATGCGGGCACTGGAAAGATACCTTGAAGCATACTGTCCTTAGAGGCTTTCTTGCAGCAGAAAAGATTAATCAGTCCTGTCATCATCTCAGTCCCTCACATTTACTGACCTTTTGTGGGGATCTTGACCCTCAGGTTGGGAACCAGCATATAGTTAACGCAGCGTTACAAATAAAGCACCTGTTTGATACAGAGCCGATGTTCATCTCTGAAGTGATTCGCTGACTGTCGCACAATGAACAGAGGCTGTCCTGGACAAAATATGAAAGCTGTGAAGAAACTCAACATAGCTGATAGGAATTTACTTTGCTGAAGCCACATCAGTATGTTGTCTAGCAGCGTTCGAACAAAGTGCTTTATATAAGGTAAAGAAATGCATTTGAATGACATAAAAATACAATAAGAGGAATAAAATTGATTAAAATGGAATAAAATAAGACACAAACAGACCAAAACAAGAACAGAAACTAATCAGTCACAGGCTCAGGAGAACATTACCCCACATTTGAATGCCACTATAGATGGAGATGTCTAGTTTAAACTGAATCTCACTGTGTCATTTCCTTCCTCAGCCCGCTGCATTCTCTTCCTGATCATCTGGCTAGTGACCGGTGGGCGCCATCACTTCTGGTTCCTCCCCAACTTGACGGCAGACGTTGGCTTCATCGACTCGTTCAGGCCGCTCTACACTCACGAGTACAAAGGACCACGAGCCAGCAGCAAGAAAGGCTCAGACAAGACGGGCGAGAAAGACAACGCTGCCAGCACCAAGGCTCAGAAGTCAGACAGTGATGAGAAGTCAGACAGTGAGAAAAAGGATGGCGACGATGAGGAGGAGGAGGAAGAGGAGGAGGGCAAAGAGGCAGGGATAGAGGAGAGTAAAGATGTAGGGGGCGTGGACCGCCACTCTGACACAGACAGCGACCGGCGAGAGGACGAAGGCTCACAGCACAGCAACGGAAATGACTTTGAGATGATCACCAGGGAAGAGCTGGAGCAGCACACGGAGGAAGAGGAGGACGATGACAAAGAGGAGGAGGAGGAGGAGGAGGAGGATGATGACGATGAGGAGGAGGAGAGACAAGAGAGGAAAGAAGAAGATGGGAGTGAGACTAAACCCCAGACTGCAGAAACATAAACTTCTTACAGTCCCATCACTCTCTACTTCTCTCTCTCTGTCCTTGCCTCCATTCCTCCTGTGACCCCCAGGACCCGATAGCCTGGCCTCTCTGAGCCCATTGAGGCCAAGGAGAGACTCAGTCTTTTGTTGTTGAGATCTTCCACTAAACAGCACCGACAGACCAGTACAGGGATAGACACAACACTGAAAAGCGGTTACAACAAATGGGGGGAAAAAGGAAGCCTATGGTGGATTTGATCCCTCCCACCCAAATGTTACTTATGTGAAAAAGAAAGCTGCCACCGGACATGTTTGCCTGAGGAAGGTGTCAACAAAATCCTATCAAACCAACAGTAATATGTTCTCCTTTTCTTGGTTTCTGCTTTTTTGTGTCTGTCGTTTCAACTCACTTTCATTTATGTTCTCTGTCTCAGGTTTAGTTTGGGTGTTTTGTGAGTGAGGTCAAATCCAGATCTGAACTGACCAGTAAGAGATCTTGCCGTTTGCTTGCCCCATTTTTTTTCTGTTTCATTGTTGCCTTTGTGCTCTGTGTTGTAGGTAGTTCATTTTCATTCACCTTTTCTTTTTTCTTTTTTTTTTTTAGTATATGGTAGTTTAACTCTGACAGGAGCACACTTCACATCCATGCCAGCACATCTGATAACTTTTAGGCAGAACTTGAAGAAAACTGACCAGTGTGTCTGCTCTGTAGCTAAGCC